GGGGTTGGGGGAGGCAGGGAGTGTTGTATGGGTCGGGAGTTCTGGGGGTCCTGTCAGGGGCGGGGAGCAGTTGGATAGCCGTGGGTGTGGATAAGGATTGGGGCAGTCAGGGGACAAGGAGCAGGGAGGGTTGGGAGTTCTGAGGGGGGCAGTCAGGGGGCGGGAAGTAGGAGGGAGTGCATGGGGGGCAGGGTGGGGGCGGGGCTCCCTGGGTGCACACCCTAATGAAATGGGCTGCACACGCCTATGCTTTCTGAACAATACTTCAGTGTTAGGCTGATGCTGTGGAATCTCTACCTTTTAGATGTTCTTTTCAAGTATGGCATGGTACTTCCAGGAGTGACATGGTGGTCCACACATTCACAGCTTGTCTTCACTGTATTGTTAGCTCAGATTAGTATACTCAAGTTACTCTATTCAAGCCAGGCTAGTTCCAGAGAGAATAATCATGCTGAAGCTACACAGGCAGCTGATGAGGAGTTGTAACTCGAGCTGCTATATCCCCACTGCATTACTAGCTTCAGCAGCACTTGAGCTTCAACACATCCTCATCTACCCTGCCCTCCAGGCTGGGTAGCTAGAGCTTAAAGCACCACCAGTTAGCTCAAGCTAGATATGTGTGTGGACGGACATGAGTTGGATTAGGGGCAAAACCTGAGGTACAGCTCAAGGTAACAATGCAGTGAAGACAAGCCATCAGAGATTTGCAGGTAAGGAGACCATCTGGGTTAGCCATGAGCAACATGGAGGAGGAATTAATTCAGTCAGTCCCTTCACTAAACATTGGAAGCAAGTGAAATGTAAAAAGAAGCATTATACATTATATTTTTATTATAAATTTAATTAATTTAGACTTGGAACTGCCTATTTCTTTGTACTTACTTTTTTGTGACATGGGACAAAAACTCTTCTGTTTAACAGCTCCATACAGTAAGTGCAGTTATCTTCAGTACAATTTCTTACTGGCCTCCTGGTTGTTACATCAACTGATTTCTCAATTTCCCAACTTTTAATAAATGCTTCAATTTCTTCCATATTTGTAATTATAGTCCTATTTTGCATCTTGAGGTCATCAACTGGGTCTCCATTACACACACCTTGAAACAGTGCATCATATTTAGTGAATAAATATAGTACATTTGTTCTTCAATTAAAGAAAAGTGCAAATGATAAAGTAATGTTAACATTGGATCAAATCCGTTTGTAAACAATTTTATTTGCAACAGCCTACTGCATTTGCAAAAGTTAGAATTTCCTAAATATGGTTTTAATTTTTATTGGGCACACTGTCACATCAACAATATTTTAGCTAGACAGACAGATCATACAGTTCAATTAAAAACTTTCTCAGATGTGGATTAACTGAAAATAACTGGTACTAAAATATGTCAGAGGCAGAATGGCAAACTCTCTCAGATTGTGCCAGATTCTGACACCCTTACTCACATTGAGTAGGACCTAATTCCACAAGTTCAATTATTAATTTAAATAAGAGTGCTTATGCAAATAACAGCTCACTGTGACAGACTGCAATATCCTGGACAAACCTTCTTGAATTAAGTTTAACATCTTTGGAATTCATTGTATTAAAAATGCAAATATGTACTATTGTGGGATTGCATGGAACTTTTTTTAGCAGGAAAACAGGATTAATGCAATCTCTGGGAGATATGAGGAACTTCAAAGCACACTTTGGGAAATGCATATAAAGTGGATTTCCTAGGAAATACTTGGGGGTGAGGGGAATGCAAATACCCACTTCAGATCCATGCTTTTGAAGCTACGCCCTGGAGAGAGAAACCAATTGTTGCTAATTACCTGCTCCTGGCAATCCCAGATCAAAGATCCTTAAACTGTATAAAGGGTGAACTAAACATATCATGAGTGTGCTAGTTCTGAGCTGAGGCTCTTATGAACTTGTCACCACAAGAGACCCCTTTGGGAAGGTTTGAAGACTCACTTGCCAGAACCCATATGGAAGACGGGGGTTGGGAGGGGCGGAATCTCTGATAAGTTTATTAGCATGTGTATAGGTTCTTTTATTGTTTTAATATGTTTTTCTGTAGTGCTTTTACACTAAGAATAAACTAGGCTTGCATAGGAAGTGCTGTGTGGTAACTTAGAACTGTGGATAGGTACATTGTTAACCCTCTGAATAGAAAGTAAGCAGGCTTGCTTAGGCAGTGTCTCTTGCTGGGAATAATGCAGGGTACTGTCCAGCCTGCAGATACCCCGGTCAGAAGGGAGACAGATGGGTGTCTCCACCCAAGAGAGGCAACGGCCAGGTACTCCAGAAGCCTGAGAATGGGAGCTCTTGCTGTACCACTAAGGGGAAACACAGGTGCCCTGAACTGTGGCACTCACCATGGGCAGGAAAGAGCTCATAATCTGGCACAGTATTTGGATTTATCTCAACATTTCTAAACGCTATCGTTATCAAAAGTAATTTTAAAAAAATTGAATAAATTGCCTTCTTTACCACAAATACTTGTGTTACTTGATTTCTCAGTGCAGAAAGATGCATCTAACATTTTAAAAATTAACGTTCCCTATTCTCTTATGAATTTGGTATTGTACAGAGAGATAACAGATGCAATTTCCATACTCAAAGACAGGTATTTAGAAATCACTGAAATATCTTCCTATAAATATATATTATACAAAGTCAACAATAAAATGGTAGAATTCGAATCTTTATGGATGGAGTTTGATTTAGCAAATAAGTAGTAGAGTTCTCTACAGCCAAGGTGACACTGAATATTTTTGATTGGGAAATGGGCAGCTGGGGTTCCTATGTCTTTTTATTATTATCTATTTTTTTTGTTTCCTTTTCTTCCCAGGCCATAGAGCACTTTTTAATTTCCTCTTGAGTTATTATGGACTTTTAATTTGTGTTTACGTGTTTTTAAAGTCCTGGTAGGCATGATTTGTGTCTTGAGATCTTCCTGATGTGTCTGGATGTAAAACAAATTTGTCATTATGGTGCAATTACAGTAGCTGGATGATTTCATTGTCAAACTCTACAAATTTTGCTTCATACAATTTAAACACCAAAGTCTCATTTAAAATGTGATTTAACATGCATGTATGTTGATGATAAGCAAAGTCCAAATTACCCACTATGTAGATTATTTCCACACCATAAACTTCACAAGTTTGGATTTATAGGTGATATACACGGGAGTTTTGCCATTGACTGCAGTGAAACCAGGACTTCACATGTTCTTTCCTTCAGGTAATAGGGTTCCCTATAACTGTCTTCTTGACCCTGACTACTCAGCACCTACACCTCAACCCCCATGGCAGTAAGGTTTGTGATATGGTGTCCCCTACTGTCATTGCCTACCTATGCGGACAAAGGTCACATCATGAAGGGGCAACCCACACTAATCAATGCTGAAATTAATTGATGCTTGGAAGAATCATAATGTGTGGTGTGGCAGATTACTGGGCCATCTGTCTTCAATCCTCTCCCTCCCAAGTCATGAATCCATATCATCATGCAGCTCCTAGGGGAGGTTTTCATGGGATTGGAAGAAAGGTAAAGCATGCACCAAAGCCAGCACTTCCCATCTCCCCTGGATTTACAGCTTTTTGCTCTTCTCAGCCCATGGGTGAGCTTTTGGCTTTAAGTACTTGATTTGCTTAGACATGGGGCGGCAGGTATGTATACTTTTTGGTGGTGTCCAGAATGTATCCAAGTCGTCCCCCCCACACACACACACACCTGCCTAAGGGTCTGGGAGGGAGTTTGGGTGCAGGATGGGGTTCGGCCTCTGGGAGGGAGTTTGGGTGCGGGAGAGGTGAGGGGTCAGGCTCTGGGAGAGAGTTTGGGTACGGGAGAGGTGAGGGGACAGGTTCTGGGAGGGAGTTTGGGTACAGGGTATGGGCTGCAGCAGAGGGTTGGGGTGCAGGAGGGGGCGGGCTCTGGGAAGGAGTTTGGGTGCGGGAGAGGGTGCGGGGGGTGGGATCTGGGAGGGAGTTTGGGTGCGGACTCTGGGCTGGGACATGGGGTTGGGGTGCGGGAGAGGGTGAGGGGTGCGGCACTTATCTTGGGCAGCTCCCAAAGCGACCTGCGCACCCCTCTGGCAGTGCCTCCTAGGTAGGAGGCCGGGGGGGTGTCTCTGCGTGCCGCTGCCTGCAGGCACCGCCCATTCAGCTCCCATTGGCCGCAGTTCCCGGTCAATGGGAGCTGCAGAGTCGGCACTCGGGGTGGGGCAGTGCTTGGAGACACCCCCCCGTCCTCCAAGGCCGCAGGGACATGCCGGCCGCTTTTGGGAGTGGCACGGAGCGAGGGCGGGCAGGAAGCCACCTTAGCCCCGCTGCGCTGCTGGTGATGGCAGGGTGGGCGGGGACCCCCGGACCTCTTTAAATTGCCTGGGGGTGGCAGGCGGGGCTGGAAGACGCTCTGGGGGAGGCGCGTGGGGGCCCTGAATATTCCTGGAGCCTGGGCAGCACGGGCCCATATAACTTGCCGCCACTGGCTTAGGCTATATATTTTATCTGGTGGAATTAACATTGGCCTGTTATTTTGAAATTAATTCTTTTAAAAAGAATAAAATAATTTGAAGTTTAACTCATGAATTTTATTTGTATAGAGCAGTAATTGTTAAATTACATTGTGACTGATATTAAAATACCTCTTTACACTTAGGATTATAATGTTATCTTGTCAGTTTGAATTTGACTACAAAGAGCTAAAGGGAAGAGGAAAGCTTTTAAAACTGATCTGTGACGCCAAATCGGAAAATAAGAATTGAAAAAAAAAAAAAAAGAAAAGAAAGAAAAGCTATATTATTCAAAACTGTTCCTGCAATTTTCTGCACTAGCAACTGTTAATTATTAGTTCTTCAAAGATTGAGGAACAGAGTATCCTCACTCTTAGAACACTTTTGCTCTAACCACAGGATCCCAGTTTTAATAAGTATTTCTCCAGCAGCTGTTGAATATTGATGTGGAAGCACATAAACATATTACACTCTGCAGAAGTTATATCAAAATTAAATGTGTTATACGGTTGAGTTGCTGTATCAAGTCAATAACAATTTTATAGGTCACATTAGTTATGAATCTTTATTTTTTGTTCTCTTCCCTATTAAATCTGTTGATGTGCCTCTTATGTCGAAGAACATGGTGAAACATCAATTTAGGGGTGCACTCAGTACCTCATGAGGCACCAACACCATGCCACAGATAGTTTTACCATGGTTATTTTTTCCCCCTTGCATTGCTCTTTTTTCCTATGGCTTTTCTTTCTGAGGACTGAAAACCAAAAAGCCCTGTCCATAAGCAGAAACAGTTGTGGATTAAGGAACCGTAGCAGGCCTGGATCTGGCTCCTGTATCTACAAGGGAAACAGCTCCTTAGCCAAACCCACAGATTTGGTAATTGCTCCCATCATCCCAGGGCTAGGCCATTCCTTCCTTTATGGTGGATGGGGGAGAAAGCTTTTCAGAAATTAGTATCCCTTTGCAAAGCCCACTGAATGCACTGCCTCCACCTCAACTCATTCCTTGGCGGTTTCTTCTGAGCACAAAATTTGGCTCCTTTTGCTCAGTGGATTTCATTAATATTTTTACATGCAGCCAGCGCTTTTGATGGGTGCACTTCAAATAGAGATAAATATATAAAATGTAGTGATAATTATTTACCCTGATATTATTTAAACAGGTGCTTTGAAACACAAGTAATATTCATTGATAGATTATGGATCCAATCCTGGGAGCCCAGATCAGGTAGAATTTTCATTACAATTAATGAGAGTTTCATATCTGAAGGACTTTAAGACAACAGATAATGGCTGATAAATCTTGATTGACAGCGGCATTAAGAAGTGGGGTATTTTACAACTTTTAAGTGAGAGAAGACTAAAAAAATAAAAAACTGTAGTGAAAAAAATATAATACAAACAAAGATTAATAGAGAAGATAATCTTACCACAAAGTCCTTCTGTCTTGGTAGATGTGTTAGAATGTAAGCCATATTGTATATCTATAATGCCTGTAACATGAGCCCACTTAATGCTAATGCCAGCAGGTGTGTTAATGACGTACATGGCACCAGTATCCTGAATACATAGTCCATGTTTTGAGAAAGGTAATGGTTGAATTACAGAATCCACTACTACCTAAATAAACCAAATATATTTTTTAATGAACAGCAGAATTCCAGAAACACATTTAATGAAATAGCAAATAGCATTTGTATTTTATTGTTTTAGATTGTTTCCATCATATTTATCAGAGGTAGTCAGGGTGTGCAAATCATGGCGTTTCTAATCAACCTCCGACCATCTCCTATAATCGCAAAGAAAGTAGGCAATGAGAGAAAATGATGAAGGAAGAATCTTTTGTAATTGTGAAAACAGGAAATGTTGCTTGTTCCCATACCCAACTGCCCAAATAAGAAACTCATCCTGTTTTCTTCATTTTTTCTCTCTTTCTATTATTGACTGGCAGGGAGATAATGGATTCAACGTAGAACTGGAGATCAGAAACTCAACAAATCTAGGAACAGTTCTTATTCTGGTTCCATTTTGAACATCTATTATGAATGTGTTTTGCAGAGTTTCCACCAACATGATCAAATCCCTGGTGCTTCTTCAAAAGTCTGTGAAACTGGGCCAAACGTTGGTTTTGTAAACCAACCAAAAACTAATAAATTTTTCTTGGTTTGGGGTTTTATCACAAAAGATTCCCACAGCTTTGCTTAGGGTCTTAGTTCAATATCCATCTGAAAGATAGTAATTCCATTGTCACAGTGTCCCCTAAAACCATGCTGAGGAACTATGCTACCTAGAGAATGACAAACACCACTTCCAGCAATAAAGAGGAGAGGCAGCTGACCTCAGTGCTATAGGAGATCAAGAATGAAAGAAGAGTGGGAAGAAATTGGTAGATTTAATGTGTATGATTTTTTTCTCTAAATCATTCATGAAAGAGGGATAACTGGAAGCCCGACAGCATATTTTATACAAAAAAAATTATAAAATAATACTGTTGTTCCTCTTGTAGTACAACAAGGAGAGGATGGAGCTGTACCACAGGAGTAACCCTGTTCCTACAATTTATAAACTGTAAAGACTGGTTTACTGCATGCTAGAACAGAGTAGCACTGTGTAAATTACCCTTTAAATACACATATGCTGAATATTAACAATTATTCTCACCTTTCTTGCCAAGCGGTTGATGAGTACTTTATTTGTAGGTGTTGTTACATTTAATTTCTTAAAACAGAGCCCTGAAGTGCCTCCAGGTGAAACCTTGTAAGAAAAATACCAAAATAAGAGTTTGGGGGATGGGTGAATATTACAGATAGTATTTATTTTAGCGTGTACAAGAAGTAAATAACAAGTGGTATACTTAAAAATTAACAAAATACTCACTAGTTTTCTTATTGAATTTGCACTCTGAAAAACATTTAAAAAGTAGATTAGAAATGCAGGGATATTAGTAACGTTCCTCCTGTTTTGCTATGACAAATTATTAGTCATTTTCAACACTGAGGGTCCTTCTCCTGCTATCTTAATGCTAGCTAAACTTTCACTAAACATGGGAACATATACTTCCCTGTTAGTCCCAAAGCATATGTTTATTAATATGGTGCATGCCTCTGTGTGTTTGCTTATTTGCTATGGAGTTAGAGCCAAAGAGCCTATTAGGGGAATCAAGCAGGAAAGACAACATCACGACCTAGATAAAGAGCAGTCCAACACTCAGACACAATTGCCAGCTTCACAGTAGTGAAGAGACAACTCCTCGGTCCCAACGCTGGTGACATAGCTATTTTGCCAAGGCTGAGAAGAGAGATCTCCATGGGAACACTTAATAATTACAGGACCCCAGGCCTAGAAAAGGGATGGGAGGTTGAGTATGTGGCCAGAGGCTGCCCAGGGTGTGTCAGTGAGATCAGACAGATAGGTCTGGTCTACACTTCAAAATGTAGATCAACCTAGCTACATCGCTCAGGGCTGCAAAAAATTTCATATCCTGGGTGTTGTAGTTAGGTCAACCTAAACCCTGGTGTACATGTGGCTATGTCAATGCCTCTTGGAAAGAAGGATTAACTACATCAGTGGAAAATACCCTTCCGTCAATGTAAAAAGCCTCTATGCTACAGCACCACCGTAGCACAGCTGTAACTCTGTAGCTGTGCCACTGCAGTGGCTGTAGTGTAGAAATGGCCAGAGTGAGAAGCTGAAACTGCAGCAAGGGCCATCTCCTTTGCACAGCCCAAAGATGGAGGTAACTGGGCTAGCTGAAACACACAAGGCCTGCAAGGAAAGAGTAAGGTAAAAGTAAATATGCACGTAGGCCTTTATTTTTTTATTCTTCACTCTACATGCTCTGTACCTTTGGGTGAATGATAAATAATGCTTTGTTTTGAAGAAGCTGTTTTTGAGTCACTTTAACCTAGAGGCTGCTCTAGCTGTATGCAGATTAGGCAGCTGAGGAGAGCAACTGATTTCTGAGGGCAAGATTTCTGTAGACTTGCTCCAGTACCCTCCACAGGGAACAGTAATGTAATGGTGGATGAGTCTGGCAGTGCTGCCAGCGGACAGGAGAGGCCCCCAACCAGGGCTACAAGAAGCAGGAAGTGGCACCCAGCCAGGATGCCAGGGAAATGCTCTCGCCCCCCTACCCAGCTACTCAGTGCAGGTAACATCACCGCCATGGTTCAGAGATGCTCCTGATGGCACCACAGAAGCTGATGGGGCTTCAGCCACAAGCACAGTGACCTGCCTGGCTCCATGTCAAATGCCCAGCCCTTACCTGCCACTCTGAGACTGCCCGTGCCCCAGCCACCACTGCTGCACTGGGCTCACTCAGCGGCCATGCTTCAACTCCACTGTATCCAGGTTCTGGTGGAGGAGTTGCCACCAGAAAGCTACAAGCCCAACAGCAATGAACTCACCCAGGAAGGCACAGGGAGGAGGACTAGGGTGTGCAGGGATTGTTGGGAGTCTCGGGGTTGCAGGCTCTGGGTTGCTGGGGGGGTGTGCAGGAGACTGGGCAACAGACTGGCAGTGTGAGGACTGAGGTGCGGGACTGGGCTGAGCAAGCAGGGGCCCAGATGCCGAGAATCCCACTCTGTCCACTGGGAAGAAGCCCACCACCCACTATGTGAGAGGATCGGCACCTCCAGGCTGGGTGACAAGGAGTTTACACTGCCCATTCACTGGAGCCCTACAGGCTGGGAGATGCCCCCTGCTGGTGTCCAGATCCTGTTGTGGATGAGCTGAGCATCTCCAGGGTAAGGAGCTGCTGCTATCCAGGGGCCAGGACTCCCTTTCCTCTCAAGCCCCAGGCAGCTGGTGCCAATCTTCTTGGAAAGGGCCATTGGGAAGGGCAGACCTGGCTGGGGGTATTGCCCAGCCAGTGAGTGGGTCTCAGCTGTTTGCAGGGCCTAGGGCAGAAGACAAGGGGATGTTCATCCCGGCCTGTCCCGGCTCAACCTGCCTGGGTGTCAGACTGTTCCCTCAATCTGTCAGCAGGGCCCAGCAGCCTCTGCAGCCCCAGGCTAGGGGCTACTCCATCAGCCCCTGCCCCAGCTGCGCATGGTTCGGAGGTGGCAGTGGTAGGGCCTGGGACAAGGGAGGTGCAAGGGGCCTGTCACAAATTTCTAAGGGAATAGGAATGGGGTGGAACACTGACGTTTTTCCTTGGCAGCACATTGTCTTGAGCAGCCTCTGCTTTAACCACCTCACTGGTCACAGGTCCCCCAGAGTGAGAGGGTTTATAGGTGCCAAACCAAGCTGGGCCTGTCACATTGGGAAACAGAGTGCTGACACCAAGAGAGACAGATTGGACCATGTGTTTCTACCCAGAGCGAGGTGTGGGAAGCCAGGCTTGTCACGTGAGGGCTGCACTTGAGAGGCACCTAAAGGGGTCTAAGGTACAGTTCACACAGTAACTAGGACCCCTTATCAAATTACAGTAATCACCTAAAACACCGCTTTAGTAATATCATAAAATTTAGTGTTTTGGGTCCCAATCCTACAAAATATTTGCTAATGTAGCCCATGTGGACTTTGCCCATTTGCCCTGTGCACTCCCAATGAAATCAGCCATACAGGCGCAGAGTTCCACAAGGGCTATCCCAATGCAGGACTGGGGCCCTGGGCCATTACTACAGTATACTGTAGGCATTTATTGTCTAAGGATAAGGATTGCAAGATTTGGCCTCAATTTATTTATGAGAAAAATGTAACCTTGAGTATTTTTTCTTGTGAAACTCATTTTAATATAATCAAATATTTTGTGACTCTCCCTCTCACACAAACCACCCACACAATGATCTTAATTCACCCGTGAGTTTTACCAAGTTTCACCAGCCTTGCAGAAAGTCAACCCTGAGAGAGGTAGCATTGGTGCAAGTCCCCCCAACACCCGCACCCAGCCAGTGCAGTTCCAGAAGTGTGAGGGGAGGTGGAGGCTTTAAGCATATCACTCAGGCATCCACTGCCCCAGGAGGACTATTGTGGAGATCCTGCTGCAACTTGAAGCTAGCATCACAAGCAAAATCCCTGGAGGAAGCCAGTGATATGGGCATCTTTTGCCTTCCTCTCATGGGACTGAATTCCCCTGGGGTGCAACTGTTACAGGCTAGTGGAAGGGGATATACAATTTGCACTTCCCTTCACCACCTCAGTTGAACTATGCTGATTTACCCTTTGAGGATCTAGTCCACTCAGTTGAATATCTAACAATAAGAAAGAAAACTATAGTTTCATTTCCTTGTAACAAATACAACAATTTCTAGTTACCCTGAGGTCTGTTTCATTTCCCAAGAGGTACAATAAAACATGTGCTTTGAAATATAAATAACTTACAATTTTTAAAATGGCTATCACAGTTAACTGGATGTTAATTCATGTTGTGCCTTTGCACCAAAATAATTCAACATTACTAAGGTTATTGAGGAAGTGATAGCATGCAAACATCTTACCCGATTAGTGGGACACTTTTCAATATGAGCAACAATTATTTCTCCTGGGAGCTTGACTAAAATGTAGGAAGCCATATTATAGAGGGCTATGTTATTTCCATCAAATGTAATAATGCTCAGTTCAGACAGTACAGAACATTGACCTAAAAAAGAACTGACATTTAATGAGGGTACCACAAAACTGACCACTACAAATTTCTTTAAATCTTCTATTTTTGGCAATAATTGCCTCTTCTGTAAAAACAAAAACCCACCACTGTTAGCTGGAATTGCTGTGCACAGCGCATTGAGCCGAGAGGAGAAGGAAGTACCTTATGTTGTTCAACAGCAACAGCTCTGGCCAGTTAAGGAATGCGCTGGATACAGGGACAGATCCTCAGCAGTTGCAAATTGTCATCACTCCGTTGAAGTGAATGGAGTAATGACAATTTACATGAAATGAGGGTCTGTTCCATGGGTCAAAAGGGAGACTCAATCATTCTTCTACAACTGAAAAGTCAGTGGCTGCAACACGGAGGTCTCAAGAATGTCATACATCTTTATGACTATCTATATTTTAATACTCACCTTTGCTACACCCTAAAAAAATAAAATAAAATTGGAGCGTCTATTGCCAGAATTAGGGCCTCATGCAACACTCTTTAAATTAAATGACATATCTATTGAGGTCAAGGCCTAAAGTTCGAGTTAGAGTTGAGTGAAATTTGGAATTTCCGTCCCGCAGGAAATTCTGATATTTCAACGTTTTTCTTTTGGGAAAAAAGCTGATATTCTAACATTTTTCATGGAAAGGAAATTTCAATATAGAAATGTTAAAATGCTTCATTTCAATATTTTCAGTCAGAATGTTCTGACATTCCCAAAATCAAAAGGTTTCATTCTGATTTGTTGGTTGAACTAACCTGAGACATTTCATTATTAAACTGTATTTTCCTACTGTGGCACATTGTCTCATGGGAGTTGTAGTTCTGGAGCCTGATTTACAATGCAGTATATTTAAAAATCTGTATGTTAAACTCCAAAGGAAAAAAAAATCAAATTAAGCAAAGTAATCTATAAAAATAATGCTGATTTATTCTTTGCCACAAAATATTAATCTCTCCCCAATTTATTTATTTTATTTTAAGAAAAGGCTTTTCTGTTGTATTTTTACTGTGGTATTGCACACCTCATGGGCATTAATGGATTTAGTTTCTCAATATTCCTGAGAAGTATGGAATTCCCAAGTATTTTGCCCTAAATTCATACAGAAAATCTGTGGCAAAACTAGGAATAGAAACCATGTATTCTGAGTCTCAGGCCAGTGCATTAACCACAAGACAATCCTTCCTCTTGAATTTATAATCCTTAATTTATAATTTTTGATGTTTACATAATCAAGTTTTAATCTTTCACATTTGAGAACGTAACAAACAATATAATGACTTACAGGGACATTCCCATTCTGGACAACAGCTATCACTGTTAACTTGAACTGGCATTCCTCGAAAACCACAGTCAGGTTTTTCCACGTTCTTATGGCAGTTCCTTGAAACGTTATACAACATCCATCCCATATTAATGCATACATACTGGCTACATCTGTCTACAGGTTCAATGTATCTTGGCTGTTATGTAGAAAGGAAAAATAGGTATGAGCATTGCAGTCTGTATATTCAAAAATTAAATTCAGAGACACGGACAAGAATATTCTTACACCACATGAGTTTAGCTGCAACATGAGCTCCCTGCAGCTTTTGCTTTTGAACATCCAAAAGCACACAGAGACCTATCCATGCCCATTTAAGGTTAAAGAGGTCAACTGGATGCACTAGATAGGTCTCCATCTAGCACCCAAGAATCCACCAAGTTAATATGCTGCATGCTCCTAGGCTAGAAAGGAAACAGACTCCCAATACTTTTCTCCCACATCCCTCAGGACACTCAGTGGTAAATTAGCCACTGGGCCAATGGGGCCCCTGCCCAGGGACCCCAACCCACTCCGCCCACCCGGTGCTCCTGCCAGGGTGCAGGATTGGGACACGGGGGCTTGCCCTGCTCCACCCTCCCACCCAGTGCTCCTGCCAGGGAGCAGGGTCGGGGCACGGGAGCTTGCCCCCCTCTGCCCACCTGGTGCACCTGCCAGGGAGCGGGGGAAGCCTCTGCACCCCGACCCAGCTCCCTGGCAGGAGTTCCCCCCGTGTCCCGACCCCATTTCCCCAGTAGGAGTGCTGGGGGAGTGCAGGGGGACTGCAGGCAGAAGGGGTAGGGAGGGGCCCCCACTTGCTCTGGCCCAGGGCCCCACAAACCCCTAATCTGCCTCTGAGGACACTGAGCAGGACAAGGCAGAAATTTGCCATAGTGCCCAAATACATATACAAATAAATTAAAGATAACCAAAAAGAACAAACAACAATAAAATCAACAAAAACACAGAATTCCAATTAATCCTCGAAACTGTGACATGGTCATGGATCTTTTGCTAAAATTGGGAAAAGGGCTCTATCATTTGAAGACAGAGTAACTGAAGATGTTGGAGGCACTTTATTCTCTTGTGGCTCCTCGTATTTGTTCCAATAACCTCAGAAAAACAGGTTATTCGCCTATCAATGTATTTCCAGGGGTCTGCTTTCATACACCCACAGCACTGGGTACATATATACATACACACACACACACACACACACACACCCCTCTCACTGGAGCATAGGTGCTGGAACTAGAGATGGGGGCGGGGGTGCTGCAGCACCCCCTGGCTTGAAGTGGTTTCCATTATATACAGGGTTTACAGTTTGGTTCAATGGCTCTCAGCACCCCCAGTACACAAGTTGTTCCAGTACCACTGCACTGGAGCCCTGTAGAAAGCATTGGCTATTGAGGCCAGATGCACACTTGCTCACAGTAACCAGTGTTCATGCCCACAAGCATATAAGGAGACATAACCCTGCTTTGTTCCTCAGTAACTTCCACTAATTTAAATTCCATAGACTCCAAAGAAGTAGGGAGGGAAGGTGAGCTGTGCCCATCTCTGCAGGAAATAATTTCAAAGAACTCCATGTCTCAGTAGGGGCACACAGCTCCAATGGCCAAAGTTTTCTAGAGTGTTTCAGCCAATTTGTGGAGTACACAAGTGCACCCACGAGTGTGGAGGTGCAGGCAATCTTCAAAGAAAAATAAAGAGCCAATATAAAGGCCAAACAAAGAGAGAAAAATGAAAGATATTTTATCCAATTTAAAACCTCTCCCATCCCAGTTGGTAGAGAAAAAGCAGATTAAAAAGCAATATACATAGAGTGTACAGTGGGCAGATAAAATTGATCATACCATACAATCTGAGGAAGATGACATCAGTGTATGTATCATTGTGCCATATGAAGCATGGCCAGCTGTAACTGTCATCATCATGTCTGTGTCTGTCAGTGAAGCTTGCGTTTCCACAGGTTCTGTAGTAGAAGACAGCACCTTTGCATAACTGAAATGAGATGAAGCTGTTACAGTGGTGCTCTGCGATTCTCCAATCCCCACTTGCTCTGGTTCTGTTAGATTATAGTAAGGTTTGATTGTTCTCTGTGGTGGAATTCTGGACCAATCTGATAGCGGTACATCTGTGACTTCAGAAATAGAGACAGATTTTCCTGAAGTTATGCTGCTTTGACTGGGCAAGGAAGTAGTCTGAACAGAAGAGAACGTCGAGTGTAGCAGTGAAGATTTCTCAGTAGTTGTAGATTTTGTCTTAGTAATATTTCTTTGTACATGTGAAGTCTGACTACTTTCTCTAGTGTCTGCAGTTCTCCCAATGGAGGTTGCATATTTAAGTTCTGAAGTTGCAGAAGGTGTAATCTTCAGCTCTGAGAATGCAGTCATGGCACCAGTTGTTTTCATGACTATAGTTTTTATCATTTCTTTAGTACTCAGTGAAACTGGGGAATGTGCAGATGTCAGTAAAGTCTTAGGTGAAGGATACATAGGTGTTTTAGAGGTAGCAGGAATTGGCACTGAACTAGAGGCTGTGTAAAGCTCAATATGAGTAACAGAAGATTCAGTGGTTTTTGCAGTAACACTAGGGGCTATGGTGGCAGCAGGAGTAACTAATAAAGTTATTGAAGGACTAACTGATGTTTTCATAGTGACATAAGTTGGCACTAAGGATGTAGTACTCAAAGCTGTGCTCATGGTCAGTGCTGCCGATGGCACTGTGGAGTGAGTGACTATTTCAGTGGGTACAAAAGTTCTTGTTTCAGATTCTGTGGAAGGACTTAATGATGATATATTTGTTCCTAATGATACAGTAGATACATGGGAGGTCTCTGAAGAGGGTGAAGATGTAGTAGTGAATATACTGGAATAGCTTTCCAAAGTGACTTTCGGCGTTTTAGAAGTTAATAAATGTGGTAATGCAAATGACGTTTTAGGCACTGCTGAAGGACTTATGTAAATGTTTGTGTCTAAAGTTAATGTAGCAATACCCGAGAGAGAGGTTGCCAGTTCCGTATGTGGGCTTTTTGAGGTTTCTTGTGTACCCATGGATACAATGGGTGATTGGGTAAGAGTTACATTTGATATCAAAGCAGATGTCCTGTTTACTGTGGGAATCACTGAAGAACTTGTTGTATGGGATGTCATGGCAGAGGTTTGTGAAACAGATGGTCTTGCTGATGACAACAACATTGTAAAAGACAATATAGCTCCTGATAGTTCTCTAGAAGTTAGAGAAGTGTCAGTACTTCGTACCACAGAGGAAGTTTTGAATTCTGAATGTGGACTGATAGGGTACTCTGTTATTTTTGAAGTGGTTCTTGCCATTTGATAAGTAGCTAATGTGGCATTTATGGGAAATACAGGTGTACTGAAAGGGAAGGCTGTAGAACTAATGGATGCAGTCAACCTTTTAGAAATAGTCGATATTGGAAATGCATCAGTGTGTAGTGCATATTTACTTTCTGTTGAGATTGTACTTGTTACAGATACCTCAGAGATTTGAGGAGTGGCTAGAAGAGATACTGAAGTAGTGGAAGGTTCTAAGAAAAGACTCTTTGAGACAACTGTGACTTCTCTCGTTGCTTTGGGCTTGGGGGATGTAATTGGAGGAGGCATTAATGTAGACATTGTGTGTGTTACAAGGGGACTCAAAGAAGACCACGTTGTTCTCATGGTTGTAGGAATTTGAGAAGCAACTGGAGATGAAGTTTCAGTTATTATAGGTGGAATAGTGGAAACAGTGTCTGTGCTTAATGGAACTATATGTTTGGAGGGAGTCACTGAAATGTCCATTGAAGATAAAAATGTAGGTAGTGAAGTTCTAGTTAAAGAACTGGTTGTTCTTAAAGATGATGAAGTAGTTTGGGAGGTGGGTGGAGTTGCCACCAAGTATGAAGCTGTGATTAACTGAGGAGGACTAGTTTCAAAGCTAGTAAATCTAGAAGTAGCCATGGGAGTTTGAAAAACAGTTGAAGTTGGGGCATAAACAGAAGCTGGGTGAACTATAGGTTGAACCATAGTAGACCTTGTTCTTTCAGTCATAGTAGATAGTGGTGAAGTAGATGCAGTTAATATTAATTGTGAGCTTGTAAAGAATGTGGGACTTGAAAAAGATGTTCTTCCAGTTAATGAAGCAGATGAAGGAAATTCTGTGGATGTTTGTGGCAGTTGTGAATGGCTTGTGGAAGGTCTTCTGGTTCCCCAGATCCTTGTAGGTACTTCAGTAGTGACAAAGGCTGGTCCAGGAGATAAACTTGCTAATGCTGTGGAAGAGGATGCAGTTCCTGTTTCAAGTGAAAATGGTGTTACCACTAAGGAAGTGGGCATTGGTAATGTAGAATGTCTAGGAACAGGACTTGCAGTTAGCAGAGTAAAAGAAGGTGTTGATGGAACTGCCATAGTAATGGGTGAGGTTATAAACACTGTCGGACTTACAGTAGGGGATGTTTTTAATGTCGCTGCTGATGTCTGAAGAGTAGCTGGAAAATCTGTTGAAGATACGGGCTTGGGCAGTACAGACAGGCTTGCTGTGCTGTGGGTTACTTTGGAAGATTGCATTGTACTTGAAACAGGTAATGAATAAGTTAAATAAGTAGTTGTATGAGGTGATGCCAGTGAATGAAAGTCTGACAAAGTTTCTGCTGTAGTGTTTGCTCCTCTTAAAGTTGCGTCTATCTTTGTGGTTATTTTGGTAGTTACAATTGTATGACTAGGCTCAGCTTCAGCTTCTGCAGTAACAAATATAGGGGGCAGCTGAGGAAATCTCTCTGTAGTAACAATTGTAGGAGAGATTAATGCAGTGGGCCTTGTCCTCTGGGTTTTTGTTCCAGCTGCCAGCTCTGTAGGTGTCACAGGTATGCCTGGAAAAAAAACATATATTTCACTGTTATTCTGTATTAAAGAAAGAGCAAAACAGCAACATCTATCAGTCACTGGGTAGCAATCTAAATATAAACCAGCCTATTTTTAGACAGCTTAAATTCCCTGAAAAGATAACCACAGTATGCCCCCAAAGACATTGTTTCAGGATATCTGCAGACTCTAGAGGACAACTCAACATTAGCTGCACACAACTCACATTTGTAAGGTTTTCTTCACAAACCAAAAAGCTAGGTTTTTTATTATATGGTAATTTAAAGCTTTTATTCTGGAGCACAATTCTGCAGCAAGGAGTGAATTCTGTAGCAAATTCTGCAAACACAGAATAGTAGAATATTTGGGACCTTAGATTAAAAAAATACAGTTTTCTTTTCTATTTTTGGACAGTAATGCACTATAATAGATTACTTTGTATTAGTAATTATTAAACATCATATAACTAGTTTAAAAATACAAAATACTGAGACTATTTTAAAATGGAAGAAAAATAACTATAATGCTTAATCACAGCATTATCCACAAATAAAGGAATGATGTGATAGCCACATGCCGGCAGTTAAGCATCCAGGACACTTGGCTATTTAAATTCCCCCTCCCTTCAAAAAATGTAGCCAAAGATGCAGGGAGGTTGGCAGTGAGGTACAAGAGGTCATGGTAAAAACACGGGATCGATGTATAACTGGGACAGAGTTGGGCTGAGCCTTTAACAAGAACAAGACGTCTCAATTTAATACAATGGAAGTGACAGAAGAGAAATTGAATTTGTGTTCAACACAGTCGGATGTGGAGGATGATTTTAGCAGCTGTATTCTGGATGGACTGGAGTGGAGGGATGCACGTATCAGGGAGGCCAGGGCGAAGGAGGTAGCACTTTTGCAGGAAACATAAAAAAAAACTTGTGCAGCCACTGCCTGTACAGCATGCATATCCCCCTTCTTCTCCTTCTTTCTGTATATGGGCTTTATTTTCTAGGGCTTTCAATCTGGTTGTTACAGCCTGACACCCCAATATTCACCACTGTCATGTAATTAGGATATGTCTTATATGAAGTATGCCTTGTGAGGTGTCATTCTAAAAGTCTTGATCTGCTAGACAGTAATATCTCGTAGGATTGTATGTGCTATTGTAATTTGTGAAGTTAAGCTATGTATGTGTTGCTGAAACATGTCCTGAGGTTGAAAACACCCACAAGCAGCCTTTCAGGTACGACAGTAAAAAGGCCAAACAATTTTGATGGCTTATTGAGGAAATGCACACAAGCACAAGGATTACCCCAGGAACTGTGTACAACAGAAACCTCTCAGAGATAGCACTACCCAACGGGAACTGTTTGACCCCAGTCACAGCAAAAGAGCTTCCAGCAAGTGGGGAGAAGATATAAAAGGGGGAAAATGACATTGGGGGGGACCTCACTCTCCCTACAACACCACACCTGGAAACACCTGAGGAACAAAGGCTGAACTGTGGGAAGTGATGGTCCCAGGCTAGAAGGATTTTTAGCCTGTGTATGAAAACCTGGGAAAGCCAAGGCAACTTGTGCCTTAAGAATCTGCCAGCCTGTTTGTCTCTCAGAGTAAGAATATGCTAATTAATACCTTACCTATCTGGTGTGTTAAGCTCAGTTTGCGGTTTTTGTTTATTTACTAAGGTAATCTGCTTTGATCTGTTTGCTATCCCTTATAACCACTTAAAATTTAACTTTTGTAGTTAAACTTATTTCTTGTTTATAACATAACCCAGTTTGTGCACTTCATATCTGGGGAGGGGCAAGAAGCTGTGCACATCTCTCTCCACATTGAGGGAGAGGGCGAATTTTTATGAGCTTGCGCTGTGCAGATCTTTCTATACAGTGCAAGACAGTATTATTTTGGGTTTATCTCCCAAAACGGGTGTGCGCATTAGTGCTGGGTGAGTCCTCTCACACAGAGCTGACTTCAGTCTGTGTCTACAGCTGGGTGTGGCCCTGTGTGTGTGTGCTGCAAAAGGCAGGAGAGCTTAATTCAGCAAAACAGGGAGAGGGAATCCAGGCTGGTGGAGCAGGAGAGGCTCAGTGAAACCCCAGTACATCAGGTGGCATCCCGGACAGGGGGGTCCAACCTATCACACTGGTCATGAGCACTAAATAAATTATATAATAAAAAACTTTACTGGTAACTGCAGAAAGTACTTACAGTCTTCTGGATAAACACATTTAAGTGTCACCTCATCAAGGATCATATTTTTAGGACAATATGGTAAGCATCCTTCAACCCTTTAATAAACCCCCCCCCCAAAAAATCACATTAGAAAAAATGGCAAATCTACAATATCTTAGTTCAGTTTGACAAAATGACAGTTTTTAAGGTTCCTTTTTTTGACCCTGCCACACAGAGAATCCTGAGACCCCTCCATTAGTTTACACACACACACACACACACACACACTTCTGAAATCCTGATGCAGCCAGTAGGAGATTGACAAGGAGTCATTCCACATTCATGCTGATGGACCATTACCCACAGATAAACAAACATATATCATGTAAAATCATCTAATGGACATGTGCACACTTGATTTTACAAGGCACAAGAGGCCAGTTCAACCCTGTTATAACTCCACTGAAGTGAACTTTTTGTTGTAAAGATTAGTATATATTATAATATATTATTAAAAATGATAGCGTATACATTCTATATAATAGTATTATATTGGAGATATATAGTTTATTTGGACTTACGGTGGAAGAAATTTACATTCTACTCCTTCAGGATCACTACATGTTTTAAAACAGGGGCTAGCACAAGGTTCATATCTCCATTCACACATCCTCCTGTAAGGCACTGATGCATGGAGATCTGAGAAAGAAGGAAAGCATGGTATTTATAGATTGACAGTCTTTTCTATGATGTATATTACAGTAATAGCAAGTTGATAGTAGAAATGAAGTACAGACTCCCAAAAACTTCCAAATCAATAACAGTGTTTTTATAAGTGAGTATTTAAACCAAGGAGTCCTCGAAAGTTTAAAAATATTGGAGTATTAAAGGAAAAAGGACATATACCCAAATGTGCTGTTGATTTCAGGAACAACACTACTGCCTCGCCCAGCAAACAGAAAAAATATCTATAGCTCACTAAACAATATATGAACTTTTGTCTGCTTGTTATAACACACCAAATTCATTTCCAAAAAATAGGGCTCTCAAGAGATTAAAAAAATTAATCATGATTAATTGCACGATTAATCGCACTGTTAATAATAAAATACCATTTATTTAAATATTTTTGGAAGCTTTCTACATTTTAAAATATATTGATTTCAATTACAACACAGAATACAAAATGTACAGTGCTCACTTTATATTATTTTTATTACAAATATTTGCACTGTAAAAAAACCAAAAGAAATAGTATTTTTCAATTCACCCATTACAAGTACTGTAGTGCAATCTCTTTATCATGAAAGTTGAACTTACAAATGTAGAATTATGTACAAAAAATAACTGCATTCAAAAATAAAACAATGTAAAACTTTAGAGCCTACAAGTCCACTCAATCCTACTTCTTATTCAGCCAATCGCTCAGACAAACAAGTTTGTTTACATTTGCAGGAGATAATGCTGCCCACTTCTTGTTTACAATGTCACCTAAAAGTGAGAACAGGTATTCGCATGGCACTGTTGTAGCCGGCGTCGCAAGGTATTTACATGCCAGATATGCTAAACATTTGAATGTCCCTTCATACTTCAGCCACTACTCCAGAGGACATGCATCCATGCTGATGACAGGTTCTGCTCAATAACGATTCAAAACAGTGCAGACCAATGCATGTTCATTTTCATCATCTGAGTCAGATGCCACCAGTAGAAGAATAATTTTCTTTTTTGGTGATTTGGGTTCTGTAGTTTCTACATCAGAGTGTTACTCTTTTAACACATCTGAAATCATGCTCCATGCCTTGTCCCTCTCAGATTTTGGAAGGCACTTCAGATTCTTAAATCTTGGGTCGAGTGCTGTAGCTATCTTTAGAAATCTCACATTAGTGCCTTCTTTGCATTTTGTCAAATCTGCAGAGAAAGTGTTCTTAAAATGAACAACATGTGCTGGGTCATCATCCAAGACTGCTATAACATGAAATATATGGCATGATGTGGGTAAAACTGAGCAGGATGCAGACAATTCTCCCCCCAAGGAGTACAGTCACAAATTGAATTAACGCATTATTTTTTTAACAAGCGTCATCAGCATGGAAGCATATCCTCTGGAATGGTGGCCAAAGCATGAAGGGGGCAATGAATGTTTTGCCTATCTGGCACGTAAATACGTTGCAATGTCAGATGCAAAAGTGCCATGCGAATGCCTGTTCTCACTTTCTGGTTACATTGTTTCAAAGATTCATAGACTCTAGGACTGGAAGGGACCTCAAGAGGTCATCGAGTCCAGTCCCCTGCCCGCATGGCAGGACCAAATACTGTCTAGACCATCCCTGATAGACATTTATCTAACCTACTCTTAAATATCTCCAGAGATGGAGATTCCACAACCTCCCTAGGCAGTTTATTCCAATGTTTAACCACCCTGACAGTTAGGAACTTTTTCCTAATGTCCAACCTAAACCTCCCTTGCTGCAGTTTAAGCCCATTGCTTCTTGTTCTATCCTTAGAGGCTAAGATGAACAAGCTTTCTCCCACCTCATGAAACCCTTTTAGATATCTGAAAACTGCTATCATGTCCCCTCTCAGTCTTCTCTTTTCCAAACTAAACAAACCCAATTCTTTCAGCCTTCCTTCATAGGTCATGATCTCGAGACCTTTAATCATTCTTGTTGCTCTTCTCTGGACCCTCTCCAATTTCTCCACATCTTTCTTGAAATGCGGTGCCCAGAACTGGACACAATACTCCAGCTGAGGCCTAACCAGCGCAGAGTAGAGCGGAAGAATGACTTCTCATGTCTTGCTTACAACACACCTGTTTATGCATCCCAGAATCACGTTTGCTTTTTTTGCAGCAGCATCACACTGTTGACTCATATTTAGCTTGTAGTCCACTATAACCCCTAGATCCCTTTCTGCCATACTCCTTCCTAGACAGTCTCTTCCCATTCTGTATGTGTGAAACTGATTGTTCCTTCTTAAGTAGAGCACTTTGCATTTGTCTTTATTAAACTTCATCCTGTTTACCTCAGACCATTTCTCCAATTTGTCCAGATCATTTTGAATTTTGACCCTATCCTCCAAAGCAGTTGCAATCCCTCCCAATTTGGTATCATCTGCAAACTTAATAAGCGTATACTTTCTATGCCAATATCTAAGTCATTGATGAAGATATTGAACAGAGCCTGTCCCAAAACAGACCCCTGCGGAACCCCACTCATTATACCTTTCCAGCAGGATTGGGAACCATTAATAACAACTCTCTGAGTACGGTTATCCAGCCAGTTATGCACCCACCTTATAGTAGCCCCATCTAAGTTGTATTTGCCTAGTTTATCGATAAGAATATCATGCAAGACCGTATCAAATGCCTTACTAAAGTCTAGGTATACCACATCCACAGCTTCTCCCTTATCCACAAGACTCATTATCCTATCAAAGAAAGCTATCAGATTGGTTTGACATGATTTGTTCTTTACAAATCCATGCTGGCTATTCCCTATCACCTTACCACCTTCCAAGTGTTTGCAGATGATTTCCTTAATTACTTGCTCCATTATCTTCCCTGGCACGGAAGTTAAACTAACTGGTCTGTAGTTTCCTGGGTTGTTTTTATTTCCCTTTTTGTAGATGGGCACTATGTTTGCCCTTTTCCAGTCTTCTGGAATCTCTCCCATCTCCCATGATTTTCCAAAGATAATAGCTACAGGCTCAGATACCTCCTCTGTTAGCTCCTTGAGTATTCTAGGATGCATTTCATCAGGCCCTGGTGACTTGCAGGCATCTAACTTTTCTAAGAGATTTTTAACTTGTTCTTTTTTTATTTTCTCTTCTAAACCTACCCCCTTTCCCATTAGCATTCACTATGTTAGGCATTCCTTCAGACTTCTCGGTGAAGACCGAAACAAAGAAGTCACTAAGCATCTCTGCCATTTCCAAGTTTCCTGTTACTGTTTCTCCCTCCTCACTGAGCCCTGTCTTTGGACTTCCTCTTGCTTCTAATGTATTGATAAAAAGTCTTCTTGTTTCCCTTTATTCCTGTAGCTAGTTTGAGCTCATTTTGTGCCTTTGTCTTTCTAATCTTGCCCCTGCATTCCTGTGCTGTTTGCCTATATTCATCCTTTGTAATTTGTCCTAGTTTCCATTTTTTATATGACTCCTTTTTATTTTTTAGATCATGCAAGATCTCGTGGTTAAGCCAAGGTGGTCTTTTGCCACACTTTCTATCTTTCCTAACCAGCGGAATAGCTTGCTTTTGAGCCCTTAATAGTGTCCCTTTGAAAAACTGCCAACTCTCCTCAGTCGTTTTTCCCCTCAGTCTTGATTCCCATGGGACCTTTCCTATCAGTAAATAAGAAGTGGGCAGTGTTATCTGCTGTAAATGTAAACAAAACTTGTTTGTCTTAGCGGTTGGCTGAACAAGAAGTAGGACTGAGTGGACTTGTAGGCTCTAAAGTTTTACATTGTTTTGTTTTTCAGTGCAGTTATGTAACAAAAAAAAATCTACATTTGTAAATTGCACTTTCACGATAAAGAGATTGCACTACAGTACTTGTACAAGGTGAACTGAAAAATACTATCTTTTGTTTATCATTTTACAGTGCAAATATTTGTAATAAAAAATAATAATATAAAGTGAGCACTAAACACTTTGTATTCTGTGTTATAACTGAAGTCAATATATTTGAAAATGTAGAAAAACATCCACAAATATTTAATACATTTCAAATGGGATTCTATTGTTTAACAGTGGGATTAATTGTGATTAATTTTTTTAATCATGATTAATTTTTTTGAGTTAATCACATGAGTTAACTGCGATTAATCAACAGCCCTATAAAAAATAATTACATATTTGACTGTGAGTTATGCTGTCAAGGCAATATCCATGACCTCAGAAATAGGAAATCAATAACATCTGGACACAGAGGGGAATAAACACAAAAACAAATAGGGGAAATCAGTACAAATATTTGCTACTATTGATGAAGATGATGCACTCATGTGTACCCCTCTTAAGACAACTAGAACAGAATTGTACAGTATTCTTTGGGATCGTGTACAACTTACCTTCAATGCTAAAGCTACTTGTACGTTTGAATTCTTCTGAATCATCATATTTTGACACTTTAATGCCAGAAGCTGTCAATATAATGAAAAAGCCTTTCTTGTTGTGAAGTTCAAATGCGCTATAATCTGGAATCCAGAGGCCTTGATGGTGGAAAAATGTAGCTCTTCTACGAAATGAAGAATTTGCTGCCCACTGTTCCAAAGTAACAGTTTCATTGTCATGGACATACAGGAAATAGTTTGGTCTTTCAGCAGACTCAAGGGAAACAAGAGACAGAGCTGTCACAAACAAAATACAAAGCAATCAGGAGTACGCTATCACACCAGAGAACCAGAGGCTATGGACTACACATTAGCTATTGAGTAGTTTATGTCAAAATTAGTGCTCATCACAAAAATTCTCCCATTTTTCTGTAGAAAATAGCAATGCTGACCCATAATTCAATTCAGATAAAAATCTGAAAATTCAGCTACATATAGAGCTGACTGAAAAAGTGAAATTCCTTTTTGAGAAAAAGTGTTGTCCCAAAGTGAGATGAGACATTAAAAAACATGCAAGTTTTCACAAAATGGGATTTCAAGAAAAATTTTATTTTGGGAAAACCTAAACAGGATTTTTCTGCCCTCCAGGACAAGCTGCCAGAAAGTCTGAGAGCCCGGTCACATTGCCTCCCGCCACTGAGCTACCAAGTCTGGGAGCCTGAGAGGTGCTGCCCATCCCTGGAGCTAGGGAGAGGCAGAGAGACAGACAGTCCCAGTGCTCTGCTGCGTTCTGACACAAGTTTCATCAAATCTGTGCTATATTCAGCTAAACCCTTCACTCTACCGAATTGGCATTTTCTTAGTTTTACCAGAAAATTTGCCACCAGCTCTAGTTATATAAGCATAGTTTGTCCAAACTTCTTTTGGCTGCAAAATCAGGGTACACATTTTGTGAGAACAGTCTTCTCTCCTGAGACATCCAGTCACAGCCAGAAGTGCCATCAGGAAAGTTGTATTTAATCACTTCTTGTTCTGGTCCCGGACAGATCAAAAGTGAAGAAATCACTTCTCTGAACATTTGAGAAGCTCAAAAAAGACTTGGTTCAAATAACATGGGTAAAAATATGCAGCTTCCATACTTCATCCAAATATTATCTCATCCCTAACAGTAATTTGAAAAATGTCCATATATTACATGGATTTAATTCAGCTTTCAGTCACCTCAACATTTTACCTGTACTATATTATATCTGCTGGAGAATTTCATTAGACTTCATTCATCCTTCTACTTCATCACCTTTCCATTTATTTTCAAATGTCATCCAAAAAGCTTATTTTCTCCCTTGTCAATATATCTCAATTTCTCTTAAACATGATTTGCAATCTCAGGACAGAGACGGCCCTTTTGGAGATACTGGTTTCACAAACTGTGATAGATAGGAGCCCTGCATCCACTGATGTCAATGGCAAATCTCCCATTGAATTCACTGGTGCAGGATATATAAGGGATTGAAAGAAGGAAAAATATTTTTATATATTAACATTTTTGGTTACATAGGTCACTGTTTGAATGAAAGAGAAAGCGTTAAAAATTATTTACACAGTGTGAACAAACAGAAATAGGAAGAAGATATATATATTAATAAGCGTAGCATAGGTGGTTGGTTTATTACTGGGGACACACACACTTTTGGTAAACATTTTTAATATCTCATGTTTCATATTTACCCATGCAAACCATTTCTATTTCTAGTTGCACAAGATACTTAAATTTCCCTTACAAAAACTGTCATTTGGACCTAGCTGCATTTCTAAAATATATTCTTGCAAAATTTAGCATTAAAGCCTTAAGTTAATTTTTCCAAGAGTGTATTTTAAATGCACTATATTTCTTCTTGAAACTGTAAGGAAAAATCAGTTTTGCAACTGGCTATTCCATTCCATGAAGGACAAACTGAAAAAAAAAATCATTGTAGCATACTTTAGACAACTAATAAACTTAGAAATAAGTAACAGAATAACTGATACATATATATAGTTCTAAAACTAGTCTTTGTCATTACTGTAATATTGATTATACTTACATAAGTCTTTATCTTTGAAAAGGCCAGGAGTTATCATAAAACTAAATCCCACATTTTCATATGTACTGATTCTAGGCAAAGGAAATAGCTTTCTGCTGGTAATGTTAGCTCCTATAACAGTATCATTCTGTCCATAACTTGCCAAAATATATGGTCCTTCTCCAAGGCCTAGTGAAACAAACACCGAACAAACAAAATCAAATAGAAAAATCTATTGATTACTTATATAAAAAAGCAAAATCTCAGTTACTTACCACCAATGATTGGTGGCATATATTGCCATCAATTATTTTTCCACACTTGGAATTGTTCACAAAGATAAGAAATCCCAGGAACCATTAAAAGCAGTTCACTTAGAATGGGACCATGTGCCTCAATGTAGTCTCGGGCTAAGACAGCATCTAAGACCAGCATGTCTACATTGCAGCTACATTCACAGTTCAAGTAAATAGATGTAGTTTGCACACTAAAAATAGCAGCATAGTTGGGCGTAGCACAAGTGGCAGCTTGAGCTAGCTGGCCATGTATGTACCTGGGGACTGGATGGGTTTGTACTCAGACAGCCTGTGCTATGTGCTACCCCCAGCCACACCACTGTTTTCAGCAGAGCTAGCATGTGTCTGTCTACTTGATCTTGGAAGCATGTTCCCAGCTGCAGTGTAGACATATCTTATGCAAGAGGTACAACATTCCCTCGCCCCAGTTCACTTCCTGTCCAGAATACAAACACTCTAAACAAGTGAGATGCAAGAAAGACAAGTATGGATATATTCGATAACTACCCTCACTAGTAAGTAACCCAGGTTTGTTCTTCATGAAATTTCCTCCTCTATATATCCCCACTCTTGGTGGTGAACTGAAGGTGTCATATTTACACACAGATGATGAAATATGGAATAAAATATTGAAAGAATTGTAATACCACTATTCCCCAATGGGCATTGAATTTGATCTCTGCATCTATCCAGTAAGGCCAGAGGGAAGTAGACATGAAGTTCCAAGTTGTTGACCTACAGCTGTCAACTACAAGAACACTGATGAGGCAAACATTTGACGCTGATGTTGCTCTGGTGGAAAGGTTTTTTTATAAGGTTTCACTTCTTGCTATTGCTGTGGGTTGCACAAAATGTAATTGACGCTGCTGGGCATAACCACCACGCTCCACACAGGAACAGACTCGAAAAGAGACCAGACAAAAAACAGAGAGATAAAAGGAAGTAAACCAGACACAGCCTGGACAAGCCTGGTGTATGACACTGAGAGAAGTCTACAAAGATGGCATCTGGTTTTGGTGCTGGCTAGCAGGCTTGGGCTGTAAGGAAAGAAATGATCTTTTGTTTTGGTTCCTCCTGTGTTCAGGGAAACAGGACTTCCTACATTTTTTGCAAACAAACAAGATTGCCTCAAAGGTACCAGACTGCATCATCAATTTCTCCTCATAACTGGAACAGCCTGCAAGACCCTGAATTTTTGGCTAGCCACTCAGGCCAAAAAGTATTAACAGGTCACAGCATCACTCACTCAAACTTGGCCTGCCTGTGCACCTCCCTCCATCAGAAGGGAAGGGCAGCCAGGCCAAACCTGAGCTGTTCTGAGATTGTGTGCATCAGTTTGCAGGAGCAAGGAGCCAGGCCCATCCCCATGGGTAGGGCCCTACCAAATTCACGGTCCATTTTTGTAAATTTCACGGTAATAGCATTTTTTAAATCTTGAATTTCATGGTGTTGTAACAACCATGAATATGTATTTTAAAATGGCAAAATATAAACATGTAAAGCCCTTAAGACTCAGTGTTTCTCAAACTGGGGGTCCTGACCCAAAAAGGGGGTCACAAGGCTATTGTAGGAGGGTCATGGTATTGCAAGCCTTACTTCTGCACTGCCTTCGGAGCTGGGTGGCCAGAGAGCAGTGGCTGCTAGCCAGGTGCCCAGCTCTGAAAGAAGTGCTGCTGGCAGCAACACCAAAGAAAGGGTGGCAATATTATGACCCTCCTACAATAGCCTTGTGATCCCCTTTTGGGTTGGGACCCCCAGTTTGAGAAAAGCTGTGTATTTTGTATACTTTTACCTTATAGTATAGGGTAAAAGTACACAAAAGACCAGATATCACGATCTGTGATGCATTTTTCACAGCTGTGAATTTGGTAGGGCCCTACCCATGGGATAGGAGCAGCTGCTGCCAGGTGAGTGTTCTTGTTTTATATGTTATTTTTCATTTTATTTTTTGTGTTATTTCATGTTTGTGAAGAACATAAGGACTCTAGCTATAATCTAGTGCGATGGATCTGCTAAGGAGGCACTACAACTCCCACTAACCCCCTTCCCTACTGCATATCCCTTTCCCCTGGTCAGGTAAGAAGAAGGTTCTGACACAGGCGATGGATGGGCTCTGTGTGGGGAGTGGCAGTCAAACCAGAGAAGCTGCCAGGGGTATGGACCCCAGCTGGGTCCTGCTGCCAAAACAGGCGTGAGCTGCCCACTCCCCTCAGTGAGTCACTGTGCGTTTACTTTTGTTTTCTTGTAACCAATTCTGACTTTTATGTCTCATTACCTCTAAACACTTAAAATCTATCTTTGTGTAGTTAATAAACTTGTTTTATTATTTTACCTAGACCAGTGTGTTTGGGAAACTCCATTGGAGATAACAGGATTTGTGCATATCATTTTCTAGTAATAAAATGACGGACTTCATATGAGCTTGTGTTGTCCAAGAGAGGGCTGGGCAGTATAAGACGCACATTTTGGTGAGGAAATCCGGGACTGGAAATTTGCTGGTGTTGCTCTGCAGAGTGGCTGGCTATAGCACTCATACAGTATAACTGGGAGTAATTTACATGCTGGAGGCTGTGTGTGAGCAGACCAAGAGTGGTTGCTCTCACAGTGAAGCAGTGTAAAAGGCATCCCCGGTTGGAGAGTTGAGGTGACACAGCTGTTCAACAGTCCAGATGGTATTCTGGGTAATGACACACCATTATGCAATGATACCACTGGATCTAGCCAAGATTTCAATGTTTGTGTAATGTCTTGGTTCCAGGATCCAAGAAGCATGCCATGCAGTTCTAAGAAATGAAGTCATGAAGGTGAAGTTTGTTATGAATATTTCTGTCATTTTAAGGAGCCATTCTTGAAAGTACCAAGACTATATTTTCACAGAAAATATCTGTTATCCTATTAATATTAATATGAAGTAAACTGATAAGCCCCAATCTTGCATTTTACAATGCACTACCAGAGCCCCACTGATGTTAACATGGCTCTGCATGGGTGCAGCAGTCCACCTGTGCATTGCAACTTGCAGGATCAGGGCTATTAGATTTTTAAACCGGAAGGGAACAATATTATCATCCAGCATAATGTAGATCACAGAATATCACCCAGCAGAAACACCAGCAATAAAATAAACAGGACATAAACCAAGCTAACATAGTGCAAGCAGGTGATTTAGTAGAACCTCTCAATGAGTCAGAGCAATTCCTGTCTGGATGCACCCATGTACAAAAACTTTTATAACGAGGAAATAATTACTAAGAGTGAGAACTATTCAGAAAGCTTATAACAAGCTCAGATCTCCAGTTTTGCTATAATTCACACTGAATCAATTATCTTTTTAGATTCATTTTAATACAGTAACATTAGCGATGCAATATATAGTGATACTATTCATTTTGTAAGAAACACAATTATAATTTCACTGTCTACAAAGTCAGTTGACTGCGGTGAAGGTTAAAATGGTAATAAGTATATATAACAACATCAAACACACAGCTTGTACACTAATGTGTCAGTAGTTTGAATCCCTTGAATAGTATGCAAAAACAATGAGGAGTCCTTGTGGCACCTTAGAGACTAACTAATATGCTTGTCAAAAAAGCTTTCATGGCTTTCATATGAGAGAAATCCCATGAAATAGATGGGACATGTAGAGAAAAAATATTGTTAGATATCTTTCGTAATGGAGTAAGCTGTAGAGGAGGGGAAGATTTTTAGGTTCATCTATAAATCTGGTGTGAGCCCTTGCAAATATTATATAGGCCAAAGCTACTTTGAACTCAGCAGCCTGACCCACACTTTTCTGATTAAAAGACCATGGCAAGTACACAAGACAAAGGCGCATGCACACACATATACAGATGCTTGTTTCCAGTGAAATGTTACAGTCTGCCTCTAGTTCAGGCTGGTGAGACAGGGAAAAAGCCTGCCTCGGAATAAGGGATCAGATTACAAGAGAGCAGTACAATTTAGGGGACCAGATGTCCCGATTTTATAGGGACAGTCACGATTTTTGGAGCTTTTTCTTACATAGGCACCTATTACCCCACACCACCATCCTGATTTTTCACACTTGCTATCTGGTCACCCTAGTACAATTACATCATGATATTAGCATGGAAGGGCAAATATTGAAAAGGACATGCAATATTTCTGGCTAACGTATGTCACTGCTGCCTTCTAATGGTTGAGAATGTCTAATGTACTCAAGAATTTGTTACTATGCAATCCAACTGCAGGGCCTAGAGGCCCAGAAAGGAGACAACCTCTAGGACCACTACAGTTAACAGAGATTTTTCTTTGCTATGGTGGAGGGCTGTGTTTTTACAGCAGGATGTCTCAAGTTACATCCCAGATGACAGACACAAGTGGTTTAGCTAATCACTGTGAGGCCTGTATCCATGTAACCATTGTCTCAGTACCCTTGGAAGTCCCGCAGGTGTCAGTTTGCTAACTAGCTGAGCTGCTGGTGCATAGTTCAAGACATCTTACACGTTCATGGAACAGAAATATTGAAAAACCATTAACTTCCACTAACCAGAGAAATATCAAGCCATCCTGACTTGGGAAGGATTTGGCCTCCTACATACATATAAATCTTGGCTATACTAGAGAAAGCAAGGTTTGAAAAACATTTTTAAAATTTGTTTTCAAAAATCATGCCCAAGCCCTGGCCATAACAGCAGCTAAATCCTGCACAAAACTAATTGAGAGGGTAACCATATTTAAACTCTTGTTTCAAAATATGGTTCCTTCTAGCATATAGAGGGTCATATGGTATGGCAAGAAACAGTGTGGATTATAATGATAAAAATGCTCATAAAGCTATTTTGAGAGATGAGGATGCATCCAATAGAGAAATATTTTTCTTTACATAAATACTACGTACCTTGGTTGTAATATTCACAATTATAAGCTGAAAGAGAACAAAATAGATACAGCATTAAACGCCATCAACAAAATTCATATCTGTTAACAATGAGTCACCATAAATCAAGGTCACAGCATGGTAATTCACTTTGATCTAAGAAAGTTTTGTTTTCCTTAATGTGTTTCAATTAGTGGATCTATTTCCATAGGATATCATTAATAGACAAACATCTGTATTCAATTGGAAGTGTCAGCACTGCTGTTTTAAAGCACCAAATACCCATTACTGAATCATCCATTGAAGAACACTTTTTTCATAGTGAAGTTAGATGTAAAATATGTCAAATCTGATGGCAAACTCACAATGAGAGTTTGAAAGTAGCATACTCTAATATGGAGGCTACTTTAAGGACAAAGGTATACATAAGAACAGCCATACTGGGTCAGACCAAAGGTCCATTTAGCCCAGTATCCTGTCTTCCGACAGTGGCCAATACCAGGTGTCCCAGAGGGAATGAATAGAACAGGTAATCATCAAGTGATCCATCCACTGTCACCAGGGCTGGATTAAC